GGGGGGGGGGGGGGGGGGGGCGGTGCCGTGCTCCGGGGCCTGGCAGAGCCGCGTTGTGCTGAGTGCTGTTTCTCCTTCTGCCCCGGGCTGCAGTCTTCCAGACTGGCATGGTGGGTTACCCCGAAGCCTTGACAGACCCTTCCTACAAATCCCAGATCCTGGTGCTGACCTACCCTCTGATTGGGAACTATGGTGTCCCGCGGGATGAGCCTGACCTGTACGGCCTCAGCAGGGTGAGCGCAGGGCCGGGGGTGGGGGTGGTTGGCACCTGGGGACCGCTGCAGGCGCCCGGACGAAGCTGCGGGGAGGGTGAAAGTCGCTGAGGGCCGGGCAGCGGGTGGGAGCTGCGCCCAGAGACCCTGGGCAGACCAGTCCTGATTCCCACGGGGGCTCCGTGGACCTGCACAGGCGATTTCCCCTGCGCTGAGTGGTGGGGCTGTGGCTGGCGAGGCCCCAGACTCTCCCAGGACAGACAGAGGTGGCTAGCGGGGGAGAGATGTTGGGGCCCCTGAGCCCGGCGGGTGGGGCTTGTGGGCACTCGGGGCACAGAGCCGCCTGCTCCCCAGGGAACGGCCGGGGCCACGGGGAACGGCCGTGCCGTATCCTGTGAGGTGCCTGCCTGGAATGTGCCGCCCCAGGCAGCCCAAGTCCCCGCCCACAGCTGTTTGCCTTGGCACCCTTTGCCTTGGGCGCCGTCTGCCAGGCAGCTAGGGAGCAACAGCAGGGCCCTGCCCGTCTCCCATTAGGGCAGCGAGACAGAACACTGGCCTGGGGCCGCCCCGCACCCAGAGTGCCCTCTGGCAGGGGGCTGGGGCCGGCCTGCATCTCCGTAAGGCGCCAGGCCTGGGCAGGGGTTCCCAGAGGCTGCCATGGCCAGTGCAGGGGCGGGCGGGTGGGAGCTTCTTCTCCCTCCCCGGGGCACTCGCTCCCGCTGATGGCCCAGCCTGGGGGTCCCTGGGAGGTGGAGTGGGACCCGTGGGGGCAGCCCCCTGCATGCTTGGGCATTGGCTGGGGTCCCACGGAGCTCGCCCTGGCACCTGCCCGGCTCACCCCTCTCTGTGCCCGCAGTGGTTCGAGTCCAGCAAGATCCACGTGTCGGCGCTGATCGTGGGCGAGTGCTCGCAGATCCCCAGCCACTGGAGTGCCGTGCGCTCGCTGGACCAGTGGCTGAAGGAGCAGAACATTCCCGGGCTGGAAGGTGGGGCGCAGGCGGGCGTGGGGGCTGAGCGGGTGGGGAGGCTGGGGGCTGGGAAGGGGGTGAGATGGGGGCTTTGGGGTGGGTGTGGATGGTGAGGGGGCAGGGGCTCTGGGTTGGGGCAGGAGGGAAGCTGAGGGGAGGGGCGAGGCTGGGGGAGGGGACAGGGGCTCCAGTCTGGGGAGGAGGGTTGGGGGAGGGGGCAGGGGCTCCAGGCTGGGGGAAGGGGCGAGGCTGGGGGAGGGGGCAGGGTCTCCAGGTTGGGGAGGAGGGTTGAGGGAGGGGGCAGGGGGCGAGGCTGGGGGAGGGGACAGGGTCTCCAGGTTGGGGAGGGGGGTTGGGGGCGGGGGCTCCAGGCTGGGGGAAGGGGCGAGGCTGGGTGCCGGGCTGGCGCTGGGCAGGGATCTGGCGCTCACGCTGGGATCCCTGCCAGGGGTGGACACCAGGGCCCTGACAAAGCGGATCCGGGAGAAGGGGACGCTGCTGGGCAGGCTGGTGCCGGACGGGGCCCAAGAGAGGAACTTGCCCTTCGAGGACCCCAACAAGCGGCACCTGGTGCAGGAGGTGTCTGTGAAGGTAGGGCTGGGCGTCGCCCCTCCCTGCGTGGGGCTGGGTCTTGGGGCACGGGGCTGGCTGGGGGCAGGCGATGAGTGGGTGGGGGCAGGGCTGAGCCCAGCCTGGGGGACAGGGGGTGTCTGGTGTAGGAGCCAAGGACTTTCCCTCTGCGGTTTTCTGTAACGTTTGCTGGCCTCGCTCGGGGCTGGCCTGCGCGGGGACCGGCCGTGGGCCCAGGTATGGCGCTTGGGCGGGAAGAGTTTGGGGGGGGTGGGTTACTGCATGTTGGACGAAGCACCCCACCCCCACGGTGCGTCCCGTTGGCTCCCGGGGCCGTGCAGGACGCGAGGGGGGAGTGTCGCCTGGCTGGCCAGCCGTGGCAAATGGGGTCTGTAAGGAACAGCTGGAACGTGCTGCAGGCGACCTGGACATGCAGGGCCCTGGAGGAAGGTCCCCCTGCCCCCCGTCCCCAGCGGGCGCCTGAGCAGAGGCCCCCCCAGGAGGGCTGAGGGCGTGTCTGTGCCACCTCAGAGGAGAGCTTCCCCCTCCGTCTGGGCAACCCACCGCCCCGACAGGTGGGAGCCGGGCCGGATTGACCTTTTGTGGGTCTCGGTCCCCTCCCTCTGCTGCCCCGAGGCCCCGCCCCCCGCTTTTCCCTAGGCCCTGCCTGCCGCTTGCAGGGTGCGGGGGTGGAATGGGGGGGAATGGTGGTGGAGTGGGCGGGGCCATGGAAGAGGCTGAGCGGGGGTGGGGTCTGTGTGGGGCAGGGCCCCGGTCTGGGGCCAAGGCCCTTCTGAGTCTGGCACGGGCACCATGGGGCCCTGGCACCATTGCAAACCAGTGCTGGGAGGGAGGGAGGCCGACAGGGGAAGCCTTTCACTGTCTGTGGGGGTGGCAGAGCTGCGTGTCTGGGTTTCCACACCCCGAGAGACACCGCTCGGCCCAGGGACATTCCTAGTGCAGACCAGGCCCGGCAGGGACTGCAGAGGGGGATGCCGGAGGAAGCGGGCACTGACGTAGGTGTCTGAGGGAGAGACGGATCCCCAAGCAGAGTCACTCCAGCTTGGCTGGTGGGTGGCTCTGGCTGGACCAGAATGGACTGGCTTTAACCTGCATTTCTCCGGGCCAACCTGAGACCTGCCGATGCTGCTTCCGGGTGACGAATTAACCCTGCTCGGCTTGCAAAGGGCCGGGCGGTGTCGCTGCAAGTCCAGGCTGCGTGTCCCTGAGGAGTGGGCAGGTCTCTCCCAGACGTCTGGTTCACGCGGGCTCAGCTCCTGGTGCGAAGCCGGGGGCTGGAGGCAGTGAGGCTGCAGGGCCGACCCTCAGGAAGGGAGGGGGGAGGGATAGCTCAGTGGTTTGAGCATTGGCCTGCTAAACCCAGGGTTGTGAGTTCAATCCTTGAGGGGGCCACCTAGGGATCTGGGGCAAAATCAGTACTTGGTCCTGCTAGTGAAGGCAGGGGGCTGGACTTGATGACCTTTCAAGGTCCCTTCCAGTTCTAGGAGATGGGATATCTCCATTAATTTATTTTATTTTATTTAAGTGTGGGACCCCTGGGGCCCTGGCCCATTGAGGGGGTCCCACAAGAGACTGTTCCCAAGTTGGGGCGTAGCACCTGTCCCGTGGATCTGTGACACCGGGCTCCTCCCCAACCCCGTTCCCTTCTCCCCTCAGCTCCAGGGTGAGGTAGGGAGCCGCGCGGGCAGTGGTTGCTGTGGGGCTCTTGGCTGGCCTGGCACTGGCCTCGTTTGTCCCTTCTCCCCGCAGGAGCCCAGAGTGTTCAACCCCGGCGGCTCGGTCAGGATCACGGCTGTGGATTGTGGCCTGAAGTACAACCAGATCCGGTGCCTGTGCCAGCGGGGGGCGGCTGTGACCGTGGTGCCCTGGGACCACCCCCTGGACAGCGCAGGTGAGGGGCTCTGGTGGGGGGGCTGGGGCCCATCAGTGGGAGCAGCTGAGGGTGTCGTATCCAGTGCGGGGTACCGGGGCAGTGTGCCCGGCACGCGTGGGGTGCTGGGGATGGCTGAGGGTAGGGCCCCTGGTGCTGACAGGGCAGGGTGCCTGGTGCGGGGGGCTGCTGGCACAGGTGGCAGATGCAGGGGTGCCGCGGGGGCTGGGGCGCCACGGGGGAAGGCAGGGGCACCCCGGGGAGGCGGGGGTGCCCGGGGGCGGGGATATTGGGGAGGCGAGGGTGCCCCGGGGCGGGGATATCGGGGAGGCGGGGGTGCCCCAGAGAGATGGGGGGAGGCGGGGGCGCCCTGGAGGGGCAGGGGTGGGGGAAGGTGGGGGTGCCCGGGGGTGGCCGTAATGGGGAAGGCTGGGGGCGGATTATGGGTGCCGCCCTGCTGCTGACCCGTCCTGTCCCTGCAGAGTTTGACGGGCTGTTCATCAGCAATGGGCCCGGGGACCCGCTTTCGTGCTCGAAGACCATCGCCAACCTGCGCCGGCTGCTGGCCGAGCCCCAGCCCAAGCCCGTCTTCGGGATCTGCCTGGGGCACCAGCTGCTCGCACTGGCCATCGGCGCCCAGACCTACAAGATGAAGTGAGTGTGCGGGGGTTGGGCACCGCAGGCAGCCCTCCCCCCGCCCCACTGCACACCCAGCGTGGAGCTCCCCTGCTCACGCCAGCTGGGGGCTGCTGGAGCCAGGCGGGCTCGGCAGAGCTGCGTTACGTGGATGCAGAGTTCAACTTACTCCTAAATGATCTGGAGAAAGGGGTAAACAGTGAGGTGGCAAAGTTTGCAGATGTTACTAAACTGCTCAAGATAGTTAAGACCAAAGCAGACTGTGATGAACTTCAAAAAGATCTCACAAAACTCAGTGATTGGGCAACAAAACGGCAAATGAAATGTAATGTGGATAAATGTAAAGTAATGTACATTGGAAAAAATAACCCCAACTATACATACAATATGATGGGGGCTAATTTAGCTACAACAAATCAGGAAAGAGATCTTGGAGTCATCGTGGATAGTTCTCTGAAGATGTCCATGCAGTGTGCAGCAGCAGTCAAAAAAGCAAACAGGATGTTAGGAATCATTCAAAAAGGGACAGAGAATAAGACTGAAAATATATTATTGCCCTTATATAAATCCATGGTACGCCCACATCTTGAATATTGCTTACAGATGTGGTCTCCTTATCTCAAAAAAGATATACTGGCACTAGAAAAGGTTCAGAGAAGGGCAACTAAAATGATTAGGGGTTTGGAACGGGTCCCATATGAGGAGAGATTAAAGAGGCTAGGACGCTTCAGCTTGGAAAAGAGACTAAGGGAGGATATGATGGGGTATATAAAATCGTGAGTGATGTGGAGAAAGTGAATAAGGAAAAGTTATTTACTTATTCCCATAATATAAGAACTAGGGGGGACCAAATGAAATTAATAGGCAGCAGGTTTAAAACAATAAAGGAAGTTCTTCATGCAGCTCACAGTCAACTTGTGGAACTCCTTGCCTGAGGAGGTTGTGAAGGCTAGGACTATAACAGGGTTTAAAAGAGAACTAGATACATTCATGGAGGTTAAGTCCATTAATGGCTATTAGCCAGGATGGGTAAGGAATGGTGTCCCTAGCCTCTGTTTGTCAGGGGGTGGAAATGGATGGCAGGAGAGAGATCACTTGATCATTGCCTGTTAGGTCCACTCCCTCTGGGGCACCTGGCATTGGCCACTGTCGGCAGACAGGATACTGGGCTAGATGGACCTTTGGTCTGACCCAGTAGGGCCACTCTTATGTTCAGAGCTGGTCGAAGGCCCAAGAAGCGAGTCCCTGCGAATGGAACGGTGTGGGATGGCAGGGGGGTCTCGCGTGGGGTGCCACGGGGTCTGTTCTGGGGCCGGTTTGGTGTCACAGCTCTATCAATGCCCTGGATGTAGCAATAGAGCATCCTGATCAAATCACACAGCCGGGGGAGAGCCGGCGCAGCACCAGGCTCTGGCGTGGAATGCCCTCTCCTGTCTCCCCGGACGCTGCGCCCAGCCCGTGGGGTCACTCGGCAGGGGGCGGGGGAGGCCTGTTGCTCGCTGCTCCCGTCTCCCCTGAGCCTGCTCCATTGGGCCCCCCACTCCCTGGGCAGAGCCTCGTGAGCTGCCCATTCCCCAGGGCAGGGGGCTGTCACTAGCTAGTTGCAAGCTCCCCAGGGCTGGGGCCGCGTCTCTGCAGCTCCCAGTGGGGCCTGGGCCCTTGCTGACCTCTCCCCTCCCGCCCCCAGGTACGGGAACCGAGGCCACAACCAGCCCTGCATCCACGAGGACTCCCAGCGCTGCTTCATCACCTCGCAGAACCACGGCTTCGCGGTGGAGCCGGGCAGCCTGCCCCCGGGCTGGGCCGTGCTCTTCACCAACGCCAACGACCACTCCAACGAGGGCCTGGTGCACCACACCCAGCCCTTCTTCAGGTGGGAGCGCGGGGGGGGTCCTGGGTGCCCCAGGGGAAGGTGTCAGGCTCAGCTGTGCCTGGAAGGCCCCCCAGCGATGTCAGGGAGCAGAGGGGGCTGGTTGTGGCAGGACTTGGGGTGCCCTGAGTCTGGTGCTGCCTGGCAGGGTCTTAGCAAGGGTGGGGCAGTGCCTGTCTGGCATGGGTGGGGGGGGGGGCGTGAGCGGGGGCGGGGTGGGGGGGGGGGGGGGGGGGGGTGGCGGGGCGTGTCTGACCCGGGCTGGCTCTCCTACTCCCTTGCAGCGTTCAGTTTCACCCAGAGCACCGGGCCGGCCCCACAGACCTCGTGGGCCTCTTTGACATCTTCCTGGACACTGTGCGGGACCTGAGCGCCGGCAGCCAGAACTGCAGAACAGGTGGGAGCTTGGCCTGGCCCTGGGGGCGGCTGTGGCCGGTCAGTGCCCTCGGCACGCTGAGCTGGGTGCTGGCCCACGGGCTGTGCCCTGGGAGGAGACTCAGCCAGTCTCTGGTGGTTCATGTCTGAGCAGCGGGGGGAGGGCCCTGCCCCCATGGGTGCTGCTGTGCCATGCCATCCTCTGAGGCAAGGGCAGGCTCCAGATGAGGGGCCCCTGGATGTGACTGGGGTCACGTGGGCACCTCTAGGGAACGTCTCTCTGAGCCCCTTGTGATGCCGTGGCAAAAGCACCGGACGCCCCCCTGGGCTGCTTGCCCTGGGGAGCCAGACCCCGCTCCATGGAGGTTTCTGGCCTCTCCGCCTCGTCAGGAGCACCAGTCTCAGGCTGCGGCGTGTCTGCCCCTCTGCCCCCCTGGGTGGCACCATCAGGGGCTGTGGTGATGCCAGCAGGGAGGAGAGCCGGGCGTGAGGCCGGATGCTGCCCTAGCTGGGTGTCCGCAGCGGGAGCGTGGCCTGAGCCTTGGCCATGCTGAGAATGCTCCTGATCCAGTGGCCAGGCTAACGGCGGCCGGGCCTGGCTTTTCTCCCCAGTGCGTGAGAGGCTGCGGGAGGGGCTGGCCTACAAGGAGCCCCCGGCAGATGGGGACGTAGCCCGGCCTCGCAAAGTGCTTATCCTGGGCTCCGGGGGCCTCTCCATAGGGCAGGCCGGGGAGTTCGACTACTCCGGCTCACAGGTGAGTCCTCTGGGTGCTCCCAGCCCCTGGACCTCGGCCTCGCTTGGGCCCTGGGCGCTGGGAGGTGGGGCAGGGACGGGCTGCAGAGGGGTATGAGAGTAGAGGGGTTAGTGCAAAGGGGGTGTGGGGGTGGTGACACCCCCCAGGTACAAGCTAGACTGTGGAACTGCTGTGTCCCCTTAACCCCCTAGCCCAGGCTGGCTGCAGCACGGCTCTGCTAGCCACCAGCAGCCCCTCCAGGCTCTGCTCTCGAGCCGTCTGCATGGATAGACTGCCCAGCGAAGTGCCACTCGCGACCTGTATCCGGGGAGACTCCCACGAACCCCCAGCAATGTGTGCCTCCCCCGGCTCTCGCTCCGCCAAAGGGCGCTGGCTAGTCCCCTGCTCACACGCTGAACCAAGCGTATGGACGAGGGCCCGACGCAGGGCAGTGATTACAAGCACTGTGGCCCGAGAAGGCGGAAGTAGTTACACAGAAATAACAGAGATCTGCCATCTAATTCTTACACTTTGCCAAGGCTGGTCATTGGAAGAGCAGAACCGTATGCTGCGATACGTTTCACAGGCCCGGGACCCGTCGCCCCAGTTCAGCGTTCGCTCTTTGCCTTTCAGGGGGTCACGCGGCCTGGGCCGAGTTCGATTTCCCCCTGTTTATTCTCCGACCCTTTGTCCTGGAAAAGTCTCTGCTGGGTCATAGGGCCAGGCCGTCCCGTGGCCTGCGGGAGCTGCCAAGTGTCCTTCAGGGGAACTGTCAATTTCTTGTTTACAACTCCCCTGCTGGTCACTCTCTGAGCAGCTCAGTTTCTCAGCACCTGCGCTCAGTCCCTTTGTTGTATGTGAGGCGCTAGTCAGTGTCTGCCCCAGACTCACCACCCGGGTCAGTGACAGAGCAGATTTTCACCCCTTCATAGACGATACCCACGTATTAGCAGGGCAATGATGCTCAACAGAGCCGGATTTCTCAAATGACACCTCACAAGGCAGACTTTGTACAACACATAACTATATACAAGTGGTGAACATGGGGGTTAGAGGGTGTTATTTTGAGGTACGGTGTGTCATGGGGTTAGTGCAAAGGGGGGAGAGGGGATAGGTGCGAAGGGGGAGAGGGTGGTGGAGGGGTATGGGGACAGAAGGGCTGGTGGGAAGGGGCAGAGGGAGGCGGAGGGATATGGGCAGAGGGTTGGGGGAAGGGGTGGAGGGTTGGCGTGAAGGGGCGGAGGGATACGGGGGGAGGGACACTATGGGCTGTCACGGTGCTCTCTCCCCCCGGCCAGGCCATCAAGGCGCTGAAGGAGGAGAACATCCAGACGGTGCTGATCAACCCCAACATCGCCACGGTGCAGACCTCCAAGGGGCTGGCTGACAAGGTGTACTTCCTGCCCCTCACAGTGGAGTATGTCACGCAGGTGAGCCCCAGCCTGGGGCGAGGCCGTGGGGGGACCTGTGCACTGGCCTGGGGCTGATGGGAGCTGCCCTGTGGGGCGCAGGGTGTGGCCAGGAGTCCGGGGCTCCCCGAGTCCCAGCCCCTCCCTCGGGGGCTGGGGGGGATGCTGGCTCTGGGCCGGGCCCCCAGTCCCAGCCCCTCCC